CAAGGCTTCATGAGCAGTGCCCCCCCCCCCCCCCCCCCCGGCCATAACCTTCCCTCGCGTTGTGCGGCCTAGAGACAATCTACCTACAGTCAGTATACTGGATGTTCTACAGAGGCGGGGAAAGGGACTCACAGAGGCTTTTGCTGGCCTTGGAGCCAGAATAATCAATAGTTCAAACATGGCGTCATACCAACATGCATCATGATAATAATATCTTAACAGCCTTCCTTCTGCCTTGTGTTGGAACGGTGCCAAGTCCTCACATCCTGCTCATGCGATTTCTGCACCAGCAACATGCGCGTCCTCTCCATCAGGGTCGGGAATGGTGACCTTGCCAGCTCATGAGGCAGTAGGAATTGATACACCTGTATTGTCTTGTTGGGGTCCCAAATAATGCAAACCAAATTCCCTCCCACATAGGCCCCGTGCATTCATCTCAGAGGACTTGGACGCCGTGATCTCGGCATTCATTGACTCCTCCAAGTGTGCAAATTTGCGCAAACACCCCTCCCTGATGTGGAGCGTGCGCATTCAGAGTTGTAAGGCAGCATCAAACATTGGTAGATGGATTCATGTGTGAAAGTGCTTCTGGTTGAGGCCAAAAGGCTCCGAGCTACTGAACATGCCCGCCCAGTCGCTCATGTCATTGAGGCCAAGCCTCTATCTGTTTGAAATTTGGCTGGGGCTGTGGGCTAAGCCGCAAGAGTTGTGAGTTCCAGACTGCGAGCGCTGCAGCGAAAAATGCAAAATTTGGTAGGGAACCCACAGTCCGATGGCAATTTTAAGAGGCACGTCAGCAAGGAAGAAAGCCAGTGGATTGCTACGAGACCATGATATCCACGGTTACGGTATTTGGCTATTCTCCAATCGAAATTAGAAAGGAGAGAGCAGTGGCGCAAGCATAGCCGTTGGCGGAGCGAATCTTTTCTGAATTGTCTTCACGACGTCTGGGGCTTAGTAGCCAATGGCAGTCCCTCCTCTACCCGCAAAGTTCTTCCTACTCATGCCTGCCCTCAGACTGTAAGACAGTGATGAAGGACACGCTCAAGAGGAAATCAGAGCACATGCAGGAGCCTTTGAGAGGAAGACGTTGACCCCATCACACTTGTCGATGGCTATCGCAACAACCTTCCACACACAGGAGTGGGTCCTACCCTGACGCCTCTTCTGGGCTCAAAGATCAAATGGACTTGTGCGGATTCCGCCACAAGTTTTTCCCCGCTATCAATCCAACTTGGCGGAGTGCAACAAGTGGCCCGCATCCACAGCTTGGCCAAGACACGGCATGCAAAACCCTTCACTGCAACGTCCCACAGGAGCAGCTTGACAGCAGAGTGTAGCAGCTGTGGAAACACATGCAAAACAAGCACACGTGATAATCAAGAAGGTCTAGAGCGCTTAGTGCACGGAGTTGCTGGGCACTCTGTCAACATGGCATGCTGCATGACAGAGTTAGCACGACTGTCAGGGAAGTGCAGAGGAGTTATCGTTCTGGGCAAGGCCCGAATGTGCCGCAGCGCCTTGCCCACGGCCTGCATCTGACATCGGTCACTGTTGACAAGCTCCACTGCCTCAGCACATAAGACATCTAGGCGTATAGCCTTCAAACGAGAAAATCGAGAGGTTGCCCCCCCTCTGGAATTGTCTTCAGCGGATGGCTCGAGCCTCTCAGCATCTCAGAGTCTCACGGAGATCACGTCCTGGCAGATGACGTTGACCTTCTCGCAGCCATCGATGCAAATCGACTTCACCTGCCATGACGCTGAAGATTAGACAAGGAATGTTGTGATAGGGCATCATAGAGGAATGTCTGGAGATTTGAGGGTCTCTCGCAGCTAGTGATGGTCAAAGGGCTGAAAAGCGCTTACCAATCTTCTCAGGGTGGTGGCGGCCGCAGCGGCGCGGTGGTCGCTGGTGCCGGTGCCGGCGGTTCGTCGGTGGGAGGGCAAATTTACACGTCTTAGAACCTTCCCCCAACCCCATGGACGAAGCTTTGAAGGATTTAGGGGGCCCTGAAACTCACCGGGAAACCATCATGAGCATATGCTTCTCTGGGTGGCTGGTGGATGGTGGGTGGTGAGCGGCGGTGGTGAATGGTGTGGGTAGCGCAGGTGGAATTTTACATCCTTTTTGTCATTCCCCTTACTAACAACCAGTAAGTGCTCCGCTGGCCTTGTTCTTGATGTGAACGGTGGTATTTCGGCAGTTGATGATGCACACAAGCTGCTGCATGGTGACCTCAAGGACACACGCGCCCAAAACTGGTCGGGATTCACGTAGGAGCCTAGACCTTCAGAACAGGCATTTTAGGTGCATTAGACTTCGCTTATGTAAGGATTGCTAGGAAATAATTCCCCAGGCTTCTACATTACCTCTTCTGAAGTTGTTGTCTCGCAGCACCGTATGCTTTAGAGCCCAGCTCTGCCCATGACAGTTTGACCGCTGGGGCGCCAGCATCATCCATAACCTGCTTGGCGTTGGATGCGGCAAGCTCTACGGCTTCAAGCTGGGAGCTTGGGAACTTCAACCCAAAGGTTCAAGGAGCTCCTAAATAGTAGTTTCCGTTTCATTTCCATTATCCCAGTACAGCCCCAGTTTTCCATAACCCCTGTATAACCCCTACATAATAGTATTACCCCAATGGCTACCAGAGATTCGGAGGGGGAGGCTAAAGCCCTGTCAATCTGCTGGGTCATTGTAAGGGATGACACAAGCGATGTTCAGATAGCTTCAACAGGGGCCATTAATCCCACTTTGATGCCATTGTTAAGGAGCTCTCCCAGAATCCGCTCAAGCTCTGCTACAGTGCAGTCTGCCCAGGAACCCCAGGAACAAAGCTGAAACAGGTCTTGACACCTGGTCAACCTTGCTTGAAGAACACGCGCAAAGGACCTTGGACATATCCATAGTGATTACTCCAAGCACTTTTCACCACGCATGAACGCTGGCCCCACGCCTCAGGCCCTTGCTAGGAAATCCCTCAAGCGCTTGCTTGTCGCTTTCTTCGGTGCGCCCGAGTCTTCCACCACCGAGTGCTAAGTTCAAGTTAAGGCTGCCTTCAAGGGCGCCTAACACGGTACAGCTTCACGTAACTTTTTTGGGGCAGAGCATTTACCTGGAAAACTACTCACATACCGAACATCTTTAGGCTCGAGGCTGCCAGGACTTGCAGAAAGGGCCCCGAACGTTGAATGGTCATAGTTTTGACGAACAACGCCTGACCAGTCCTACTGCGCTTACCACTCTCACACCCCTAGACCGGTTTGTGACCATCGCTACGACTACCACTCATCGCCCAGAACCCGTACCATCCTGGGTTGCTGTTGAGGAACTTCAATTAAGTCAACATAATGGGTACACACACACATACTAAACAATTATTCAACAATAGGGCTCCCCCAATATGGTAACTTTAACTAGTTAAGTTCCTTAACAGCAACCCAGCATCGTGTGCACAGGTGGGTCTCCCACGAGGTTGCGCTCCCCGTCGTAGTTCTCCACCATCCAGTTCACGTCCTTCTGGAGCTCCTGAAGGATCGAGTCCTACTTCCCGAAGCCCCAAGCTCCCCAAGTCAAAACTCAGCAAGGCAAATCGCAGAACACGCTCCGAGATCCCCTAAGCTGTCTAACGAATTGCTCTTGACGTCGCGGTTTCCGGGAGAACCCTCCAAGCATCACATCTCCCCCGTCATGGGAACCCCTACGCCCTAGCCAAATATCTCTCCTTGTTGCCTGTGCTGATATAAGAGGTATTTTCTCTTGCTAGACAGGGGTGGGCGACTGAGCATACTTACTGCACCTGCCATCCATATGCAGCCGCTCTCTCCCCCCATGGTTAAGCTGCGTACGCCCCTCTTATTATGGGCAAGAGATACTCTGACTAAAGCCTATGCGCTCAAACCCTGAACCCTGCACGTGAAACCCTAAAACCTAAAACCTCCTCTATATCGCCGTATATCCTTATGTGATCTTTATATGTATCTACATAATCCCCAAACACATTGTCGACCCTGAACCTTAAAATCCCAACCCTAAACCCAGGCCTTGGACGGCGGACCGCGAGGCCCTCGGCGGTTGAAACCCTTGGAGCCGCCAGCAGCAGGAGCGGCCTGGGGGCTTTCTCTACATGGATTACAGTAGGAAAGCCTAAGCAGATGTACGGAGATGTAGAGATGTGGAAGTATTATATGGAAATTCTAGTGCTTTCTTCGATTTGTGTATAATGATTCTTTTGCACAACTCCGCCTCTTCCCCAGTTCTAGGGACTAGGTAACAACTTGGACAGGGTCAGGGCGGGGTTATCAGGCGGTTTTGTTTGGATGTGGTATAGTGCTAATACCTCCTTCTGAGGTTTGTCCAAACAACTCGCCTTGGTCGCCAACGTTCGTGGACCAAGCTGGTAGACAAACCCAAACTTCCCCACAGCAATGCCCCTACAAGAACACCACGAGCCACAATCGCAGAACAACGTAGCAGATTTCACATACGCATGGTAAGGAAAAGAACAAAGGAGGCCACCCTCTGTAGACGAAACTGAGGAGCCGGGGTTTGCAACAACTTGATGATATGGGCGGAGTTTTGTTGCCAATATGTGGCTCTCTTTTTTTTGCGAAGGCGTGGCTCGCTCCTTCTTGGTCTTGGAACGCTTCAAGCGCAAGCAGTTACAGCATTTGCTGGTCTTTGAACGTTTCAAATGTTGCAAGTTACGGCGATCGCTAATCTTGAAACGTTTCAAACGCTGCAAGTTATGGCGTGTGCTGGTCTTGTTGGAATGCCTTAAATGTTGTAAATTACAGCATCGGTTTGTCCAGGCCCAGGAATGCTTCAAACGCTGTAAACTACAGCGTCTGCTGGTCTTGGAAAGCTTTGAAAAGCGCTGTAATTCACAGCATATGGTGGTCTTGCTCATATGGTGGTCTTGCAAGGTTTCACAACTTCAACTACTTCCCTGGGATAGGAGTGCGCTTTTGGAATGAAGGTTACGGATTCGGCTTTGGTGCTATATGCTGGTTGAAACGCAAGGATGGAATTGAAAGGAACTCACCATATCCTCGAGGGTTATCATGGTCATTCTGAAGATCGATTTCCCCCGTATCACTCAGAATCGGGTCTAGGATATGTTTTGACAATAAAAGGATGTAAACCACTTGTTAAACCCGCGAAAAAAATTGCTGCCAGATTCGCCGCAATTTGCGAACTCCAACCCTAAACCCTAAACCTTAAGCCAGCATGATACCTGCTAAGTCCACTCCAAAGCCCTGAGCCTTAAACTCCATAAGTGGTGTTCTTCCGATGTGGTTTCTATAGCTGTGAACTCTATTAATGTTGTCTTGTGTTACTGTTGCTGTTCTCGGTGTTTTTACGGCATTGGATATCATTATCATTCACATCATTACTTCCAGGAAGTCTTATTATTGTTGTCAAAATGGTTGACTGTATGAAGCTGCACCTAAACCCTGCAGTTTGTCGCGGGGACTACGCAATGCCAACATGCTGCTGTCGCGTGGCATAGGAAGCACAGTTTAAGACGCCGTGGGGGGGGATGGGGGGCGCAACATTCCATTTGCAAAAAACAATGACGGGAAGGTCCATTGTTCCTGGCAGAGCAGAGTGCCCACATGCTGCTATTTGAGGCTAACATGCGCGGCTTTAATCAAGCGAGGGGGTTGGAGGGCAGTGCATCCACCTCTCTTGCAAATGTATACGAAAGCAAGCGCACAAGACTTTGAAGAAGCGGGTGGTTGGGGGGCCGCCCCCAATGTGCAGACACATGATGATTGACAATCCGTCTTGTCTGGCAGACAGAGTGCCCGCATGCTGCTATGTGAGGCAAGCATGCGCGGCTTGAAAGAAGCGAGGGGGTTGGGCGGGCGCAGGCACCTCCACCTGAAAATGTATGTATGATGATGGGATGGTCACACAAGGCAAACAATCACGAAAGAAGCGGGGTGGTTGGGGGGGCGCACCCTTCCCCATTTGCAAACACATGATGAACTGAAGCTCCATCCTTTCTGGCATACAGTGTGCACACACCGCCTTAAAAAAGGGGGGGGGGTGCAAGCATAGAGTGCTTGGACGATCCGTCAATCTAGCGACGGGGTGAGTGCAGCTCTCTACGGCCTGCAAATGTACGATGATTGGAGGCATGCACGCGCGGCGGAGCGGTTGGCGCAGATCCCCCATCTGCAAGCATGTGATGATTGGAAGATCCGTCCTTTGTGGACGGACAGAATGTCCACATGCTGCCATTTGAGGCAAGCATGCGCAGCTTTGAAGAAGCTAGGTGCAGGCCGCCCCACCTGCAAATGCATGTTGTTTTGCACGCGCACCGCCTACTTGTGCTCTGCGAGGCAAGTACGCACAGTTGTATGATGATCTGATGATGGGAACACCAGACCACAGGACCAAAGACCAGCGGACCACAGGACCACTAGATCTGGGGACCAAGAGGAGCACGGGATTCAGGGACCACAGGGGACCAGAGGACTGTCCAGCCCCTGGATATATGAGATTAAGAGGAACCAGAGCCACATAGGAAAGAGCCACACCATTGGAATGAAAACCCGGACCCGATGATAAGGACTGTGCCTTCGCCGTAGCAGACACCATTTGCGGGCCATCCTGCAAACGCATCAACTCATGCAGGGTAGGGGCCTGCTGAAGTCTAACAGGGCTTCCGGCTATATTGAAGTATCGTTCTAGAAGGAAGAGGTCAAACGGAGAATAGGGTTTTTTTCAATACTAAGGTTCCGGTGCCTAGCCCCACAACAATTTTGACAACCTCCTACTGACATGCCGTTCAGGTGCTCTCCCCCACTCTAACATTGAGCCCACGCAAGGGCTGTATGGGGTTCCAGATCTGAAAAAGGATTTTGGTAACCCCAACTCCGCAAAATGGGACCCCGCGACCATCAATAGAACTTTGGAGGTTGGGTTACCATAGCCCTTTATTCCTATAAACCCCTGTCTAAATCCGCTTTCCATCTGATGTTCCATCTGATGTTCCATCTGATTCTCCACCATGGGGGTGGGGGTTACCAAAACAGTCGCGCGACCTGGACCCCACATATGCCTGTGCAATCGCTACGAAGACTTGGTTCCCCCCTTCTTATTGGGACTTATGGTGTAAGAGAACACTTGGATACTTGGCAAGGCCGAACCAGATTGCCTTCGGCTGGTTCTTGGTCTTCATGTCGGCAGTTACCTGTAATCAGGCTTCTTTGTGGGAGCGGGTCGCTTGCGACGTCGCTGAAGGGGGCTCACATTAAGACGAAGAGTATCCTAGTATTGCTCTGCAGTAACCTCAAAGAAGAATCCCGTGTGTACAGTATTTGTCGAAATGCTTCTGAATTTTGTTTCCTTATATCCCGTCTATATCTATAATATAACACGCCCCAAGCCCTGGTCTAATAAAACCATGGTATGCTTAGGGAACACGAAGGTCCTGAAAGTGCTCTCTAGCCTGGAGCTGATCCACGAACAATCTCTTCCGCATGTCCCCGGCAATGCAAGTGCAACGTAGAATGAACACAGGAGCGGAATTTGGAAGTCAAGCAATTGAAGGTCCACGGTAAGCTTCCGGCATCTCCTGTATTCTACTTGTTGTGTGCACTCTACCGCTTACCCAAGCTTCGTCTGCGCCGAAGGATACGCAGCGCATGCTGACATGTCAGCTCGGTCTGTTTTGATCTGATTGCGCATTGATCATGGAAGGCAGCACATTTGTGCTGCAAGTACAAAGCGCATGACGAGCCACAGGAAGCCTTGTTAGCATATTCTGCTCTGTGTGCAGTTGCGCTGACAAACTCCAAGGCACTGCTGCTCGGGGCATTGTGGCCGAGGCGGCTTAGAAACTTGGACGAGGAGTTGGAGCGTGATCTGAATCAATCACACTGAGACAACCGTAACTTTTGCCAGAAACGAGACTAATGACTAAACGCCCGACAAAAAAGGGACGTGCACGTCACAACTTCTGTGCTCAGCTTTGAATCTAGGGGATGGCTTGTGGTGTTCCCAGAAAATTCGGAGACAACTCAAGAACCACCCAGCATTAACATGAACACATCCAATCAACGAAATCATAAGAACCGTAACAGTAATCGTAACAATAATACATGTTAATAATAATAACAACATGAACATTAAATAGATAATGATAGTAATAATCCTGCTATATCACGTAGGTTTCCTGGGGCTCGCATGCTGTGGTCATTGCGGTGGCTGCAGGGTCATGGCTCCCCACGGGGGAATGATGGCCCGAGGGATAGCGAGTTCTGCTACTGAGAATATGATGATAATCGAAGAGAAAATGGAAACTACTACATTATTTAGGGCTTAGGGTTTAGGTTTTAAGGTTTAGGGTTTAGAGTTTAGGGTTTTGAGCATGCGCAGCTCAGGATTTCAATTGCGGCCCTTCTTGAACCTATGGCCCAATGACCGCGTAGGAGTACGTTGCTGGCGTCATCCCCTGAGAAGCTCGTTTGAAACCCATGGACCAGTATCAGAAATCAATGTAGTCAGCTGTTTTGGCTCTTGCTGAAGACTGGGGGTGGAGTTTCTTCTTATGGAACCTCACGTCATCGGGTTTTGCCATTGGGGGTTGCCTCAAAATTCGTTTTTTCCTGGGGGAAGCAAAGACAAAGAGACATCATTACAGGAAAAAATGGGCAGCATAGTGCGCTGCTCCAGGATGCTCCAGTGCCCCTAAACTCAAAACCCTACAAAAAGCGCAGCATGGATCAAGGAGGGCGCAGGACCATGACCCGACTCCAAGAGTGGTCGAAGCCCACAGGTCGCTCTGGCTCCCCTACCCCCCAAACCCTGAACCCTACACCCAACGTGGCATAGTTTTGCGTAGTGTACAGGCAAGCATGATTAGGAATGTCATATCCCGGCACCACCCTTCATAATCCCTTTAAAGCCAGATTGTAACACTCCCAGAACCATCTTGAATCATTTTTGGATGTCTTCCTGTGTGCCATTGGGGTTTATCTAGGGCATCCGCGATCCAGCCCCTCATTCGCTGCCAACACAACACACGGTTGGTGGAAAGAGGAGAGCACAAGTAGATTGTCAGGGTTTTGCTATCGGGACATACCAGGACTAAGTAGGGTCCATCTTGTGCGTTTCAGGGATTAAGGCTCGGGGGCTTGAAGAATACGAATATCAATAAAGAATGACATCAACAAGTATAAGAAATACAAATACCTGTATGCCTCCTACTAATAGTGATTTCAATAGGTTTCCGTCGCTTGAAGAGTTCAGGGCTTTTGTTGTGGATCTCAGCCCAAACAGGCGGCTTCTCCCCAGTGTATCTAACAGCAGGGTTGAGGGCTTGGGGATGGAAAAAAGTGGAAACTATCAGATTAATTGGTGTTCTGTAGCTGAAGCCTGAAGGGCCTAAACGTGACCTGCCGGAGTCTGAAGATTTCACCGACTCTTTGTTTTTTGAGTCGCACTTCTGCTAGACCAATTGTAGCGCTTGTCTGGTGTCTAAATCCTATCAATCGGGGCTTCTCCGGCTTTCCGTTTTCTTCTTTTGCCGCCTTCACAACCCTGCACCCTGATCCAAAATCAACAACAACCCTGCCTATACCCCATGTGAGATGAGAGTTTCTGAGTATGCGCCCCGCGTATGATTCTCAAGGGAGCTGCCACAATCCCCCTGATGGGTTCCTATTATCCCCTCCCCCCCAATACCTAAACCTCAATGCCCCCCTGTTTCAGAACCTCCCCTGCCACCCACCTCTGTAGCAACCCAGGATCATAAGAAATCAGCGACCCTCAGATTCAGGAAAGCCCGCATTTCGAGCATGCCATAAATGCCATGGACGCCATCTCCCCAGTGCTCAGGGCGGTTGCCGGCTTTGTAGGCCAACCGTTCATGCTTTAGCTCAAAGCTCAGGACTTGTTACTGAGGGTTCAGTATAGGGGAAACAGGTTCCCCAGGCTCGCGCAGCGGACCCTTTGACATTCCCTATGTTACACGTCGCACCCACACACACACCATACTTTTGATAAATCCTCATCCTCGCGACATACTTTAAAAAATCAATTATCATATTTGACTCCTTGGCTTCCTTCTTGAGCACCAGGTAGCCGTGGGGTGGTCTTTGCACACCATCTGCGAGCACTTTGCCCCTAGGCTAAGCTAGTCATGTCTTAAACTCGGGACCTTCAAAGGTGCCAGCATATCAAAGGTTTCGAGCATTCGGGTGTATACTGCATTTTTTCGGGTAAAATGCAAGGCAACCATCTATGTTGGGAAGATTCCTTGTTGCTTTTGGTCCTTGTCAAGGCCTGGTTTGCAGGGTATGTAGGCTTCACCATTACCCTGAAATGCAGTTCGGAACACCTTGCTCCAAGCAGCTGCGTGTGGAGTGCCGGCAGCTTTCTCTACTAACACCTAAAGGATTGAACCAGGCCCTGCATCAATCAAGAATGTGCGGCAGGTCAACGTGGCTGCAGCTTGAACACCCAAAAGTCATGTTCGTTTGAATGTTCCTTTGTTTACTTCCGACCCTTGGCAAAGCTTCCGCAAGCGCGACGCACGGACGCGGGAGTAGAAGGAGCGATCTGCGAAGCAGCGGATCCTCCAAACATTTTGGAATGGACTTCTCAGTCGTCTCCCTCCCCAGCCTCCCAAGAAATTGAAAACATTGGCGCAAAGGGGGGACTGGCCCCCAGCGCGTAGGGGCTCACTCGTACACCCTGGTGGCTCGGGGCTCATGCATTCTCAGAGATCTGCCGGTTAGAGATATGATATGCGTGCGGCACCCTTGCGCGGTGTAAATGGAAGGTGAGAACAACGTGTTGCCAACAAGCCCATTCATTGTTGAAGGTCAGTAGCTTAAAGCTGCTGGGTCCACGAGCACCCCTGTCAATTGGAAAACGAGTAGCTGGCCGTCGTTGGCCAGCTGGCTCTGCAGGAGTCCCCCGCACGATGTCTCTCACTTTTCTACTCCTTGTCTTCCAGAGGGTTTGTTCTAGGGCTCAGTGTTGAGGCTTGGGCCTTTAGAATCCACCCGTACAAATCCTGTGGGATGCCCAGTTCTGTCCCATTGTGCTGGGCGTGAAGCCTGGCTGATCCGATGGAGAGCTCCGTTAGTGATGTGATGCTTGCATGCCCCCGCACTCATCCAAGAGATCGTCAGCAGTGCTAATGCCTGTCAGGAGTGTGAAGACTACAGCAACACACAGGGGTGTACGGTCCAAGAGCTCATGAAAAAGAGAGCAGCCATGACGTGTGGTTCGCAGCATTGGCTGGCTGGAGATGGGTCTAGCTTCACAGTAGAGCAATCTAAGTTCCCAGGTTTGCGTTATCAAGAGTCCCGCTCACAAAGGAAGGGTACCTTCTGCAAACCATCCTTTACAAGACCTCTTCGGACCCTTCGAAAATCTGAAATGATTACAAGCAACCCCAGACACCTGAAACTTTGTTCCATAGTTTTGAGGCACCCCCATTTAAATGGGACTGCACAGACGAGTGAAACTCACAGCCGGTGACACTTGAAACTTGGTCCGCCGAACATCCAACCCTGCTGTGTAGCCATGAAGTCCTAGTTCGGGGTTCAAGGCTTGATAAAAAGCACATATGTACCCGGATCCAAAAACCTCAGAATGCTCACAGAAAGACCTATACCCGCCTAATGCGCACAGCCTCATGATGCCAACTTAAGGATCTCTATACACAGTCACGAAGCCCTGTCAGATTCACTGAAAGCGTAATCAGGCCTGCTCGCGATCAGCGTCATTACCGTCGTCGTCATCATCATCATCATCATCATCACCATCATCATCGTCGCAACCTCCACCGTAATAATCATCATCATCCCACTGACTAAACCAACTGAGATCTCAAGCGACCATGTGGAGGCTTACTTACTTAGTCAAGGGCGGATATCTCTTGTCTCCGCGACCAGGTTCTTCGCATGGTTCATCGTCATGAACTTGAAAAGGGCCGCTGACCGTGTAGTAGCAGCACGCGCTTTGTGAACCATTGGTTATGATGTTAATCTTGTCACCAGGCGTGCTGTTTCGAGCTACAGTCAATATTTCCGACATAATTCAATAGAGATGGGCTTCTTGTTAGGGACTATACTAAACTACAAGCAGGACCCCTATGTCTACGTATACTCCAAAGGGTCCCTTCATAAGGCTAACATTGACAATACGTAGCTCTTACTGTTGAAGAGCAGTCACTAATTACCAAAATTTTTAGTACACGTCTTTAATTCTGACACCAGGGCAATGTTGTTTTCTTTTGCTGCTGCCACTCCAGTCATTGTCCTTCCTGGTACTCTAACCACTTTCCTAATATTGCCAACATGCTGCTGCTGCTGCTTCAAAAAATGCGACGATTTGATGATCTTTATGAGTTACATCGTGAGAGCTTTCTCGCCAAACGACCATAAGTTGAAAGCACCGGAAAGAAGCTAATTGGGTGATATCTTACTACTTTGACCCGTCTGTGGATTTAGGAAATCTTGCGCCACCTTATATGCTCCACACTAGAAATTCCATGAATTAGGGATCTTAAGTGGTGAAGATGTCCTCCAACTTCAGTGACAATACTGTTTCACAATAGTCCCTCCCCGCACTATTACACCCCCCATATGGTTCCAGATAGATAAATAAACATAAATATATATATGTATATATATATATATATGGGCTGCTATTGGGAATATTTGCTGATGCTCTTGCCGGTTTGAAGTTGCAACAAGTGAGGTGCCATGGATTTTCCATACATGTGGCTTTCAAACAATCAGAGGCTACTTTAAAGGGTATACGCAGGGATTTATAGGGGATGTATGGGGTTCCCGAAAAAACGGGTCCTTTTTTGGGGCCACTAAACTTCTGAAAGCTATCACATTTTCTTGCTAAAGAATTCATCGCTTGCCATTCCATCTTGCAACAATTTTCGAAACTTTAAAAAAAAAAACATGCGAACTTGGCAAGACATGTGGCTTAAGCCCTGCACAGCCCCGACCCCTTGCGTCATCCTATTTGAGTGCGTGTGCATGTGTGTGTGGTCAGGGGCGTCTGCTGCTACACGGTGTCAGGCATCGTCCAGTACCTTGCAAAATCAAGAAGCACACAGCTGCCAAGTCCTTTGGCTACTTGAGACAAGTGCTGCAGGGCAGCTAAGTCTATGGATAGTGCTTAGTGCGCTTGGGTCCCGGAGAGGACAATTCAGTCAACAGTGGTACGCTTTGTAGCTATGATAAAAATAGCAATACTTGTAGTAGGAATAGTGCTTGCAACAGTGACAGTAGGGAGGAGTACTTGTAGTGCGTCCCACTAGGGCAACTCTTAATCTGAGACCTGCTTAAGCGTAGATTTGCAAGAGATTTTGCTTTTGACGCAAGGCTGGAGCCAACCCTGAATACCAAGCAACAGCCTAAGAATCATGAAAGCTACTGTCTAAGCTCCTAGCGTCCCCCTCAATAACCCCTATAGTAGTCCCCTATATGTCCCCCCTTTAAGGAGTTTAGACTATAGCTCATGTTATGTGCTCTCACTGATGCTGATACGGCCGAAATCGTTGTGCCACTACGACTCCAGCTATAGCCAACATATGCAGTTTTACTCTTGCTCCCTGAAACCTGCTGAATCTCTTCCGCCGAGCAGCGTTAGGCCGACCATGATGTAAGCAGCAATGAGCATGGCCCCCTCGAGCCAGTTGGACCTGAGCTTTCAGGGCTTGGGCGGGCTTAGGGGTTTTGAGTGTTTGGGGCGAACGTTTGGAAAATGGGTGAGCGTGTTGGGCTGAGATTTTGGCACGGCGAGGAGTTCAGGGAGTGACAGAGCGAAAGGCTAGGAATCCATGGGGCCGGTCAGCAGGTAACGCAAAGTGAACCTCGCTTTGCAGCCCCACTATGTTTGCTGAGCGTCCTACGAACTCCTGGCACCCGCAACTATCCTAAGCCTACGCTCCTCAACTCCATCGTGGCTAAACACTAAACCCTGGAACTCCACGCAAAGCCATCGATGAATTGGATAACCATGTTCTGCGTACACTGCGTCGTAACGGCGCGTCATCCAGACCTCCGGTGTTTTCATGTTAACCCTTCAAACACAAAGCCTCTGCAGCCAATCTTCTGGAGGAGGTCCGTACAGGCCTTCATACATCATCTGCCACATAACAAAATTGCCATCTCTTGCCTGAAAGACTCCACATTCCCCAGCCAAATCCCCGCCGTGCCGTGATCGGTGTCCACACACCCAGCAGTGATAGATTGCTCTCCTTAAAGACCTCCAGAAAAGACCTACTTTCAGACTTTGCAGGATTAACAAGGGGCTAAAATGCCTCCTTAAGATGCGTTATACCGATAGTTGGGGACATACTAAATGCCTGACTCCACTAAATGCCTGACTCCTGGCCGCTTTTAACGCACACCCTGAACCCTGCCCAGGGTTTCGAGAAATCGGCTCGCCATCGCTGGTCACGCTGCCAACCTCAGAGGGGAGAGCTTGCTTGCTCTTCTTTCAGCAAGGGGTCCCGAATGACATAGTCCCAAGTAATTGGATCCCCATAACAGGGACTGTCCCGCCGCAGACTCAGAATTTTGGGAAGCTTAAGTGTATGGGACCGATTTGAAACTGGGAGCCTGGGAACCTCAGCTGCTCATCTTGGGCATGTGAAGCATCTCCCTCTTAAGCCTTTTCCCGCCTCCCGTTCAAACAACCTATCCTGACGTGGGGTTCTGCATCTGAATTCTGGATACCACGACTTACGGGTTTAGGCTGAGCCTTAATGAGCCAGCAAAGAGAGGCTAGGGAAACCTCATCCTAGATGATGTGACGCGCAGACAAAGTTTGACAAAGGTTCAGAACTGTGAAGGGGAACAGAGACACAGGCCCGAACCTGTCAACCCTCCGAGCATGCAACAGAAACCTCAAGGATCCCTGCAACCCCCTTTTGAACTAAGCGAAAGATTTTCTTCAAAGTGGTTTCTCTGCATTACATGAAGCAAAGAAGTCTAGATCCTCCACGAAACCCATTCATCATACCCTCCACACAAAAATCACAAATCCTCTTGCACGTCCAGCTACCTGAATCGAGATGCAAAAGGCGTCAGCAAAGAGCCAAGAATCCCGGAAAAGCAGACGCATTCTCCGCTCAGTTTGACTGAGCTACCTTGCAGCCTATGCGCATCTCAGGGATCAGGAGCACCTGCCTCTGGGCTTTCGATCTTGCTCCCTAGCATAGTCATCCTCAAGAAGCGTCGTCTGTTCATATTCAATTTTCAGTTTCTGCAGTGGTCCCACTCAAGAGACCCAGAGAAACCCGCATCCTTATGCATAGCTGCCGGCTATTTGCCAGCATCAAGGTCTGCTCACATGTTCCCAACATATTCAAATCCTTACTCTAGGGAAACCACTATTAAGCTCCTAAACCCAAAGCCGCTAACCACAAAGACCTAGGGCCCAAAACCCAACCCCCAAACCCTTCCCCCCTAAAACTCCCAAACCCCAAATCCCTGCACTCCCAACCCCTGAAGCACTGAAACCGAAACACCCAACGCCGAAGCGCCGAACCCCCCAAAGCCCATGTGAGCTCCGCGCGATCAGGACAGTGACAAGGAGGATGCCCGTGCCCAGCGGATGAAAGTTCAGGTCCTGGAGCTTCTGCTGTGTAGAGGGATATTATCCCCCAATAAATTAAGGGTACCATTTACCCCTATAATGGAGAATCAAATGGAAAAGAACATGGAAAATGAAATGGAAACTGGGATTATAAGGGATATATATATATATAGATTATTGTTATATTGGGGGTAATATTGGGGTTATAATGGGATAATGGAAAAGAAAATGGAAACTACTATAATGGGTTATATAGGGTTTAGGGTTTTAATGGTACGAAACAGTGTTCTGTATATATATATATATTGGGGTTATATGGGGATAATGGAAAAGAAAATGGAAACTACCATAATGGGCTATATAGGGATATTATCCCCCAATAATGGAGAATCAAATGGAAAAGAAAATGGAAAATGAAATGGAAACTAGGGGAATATAGCTATGGTACGAAACAGTGTTCTGTAAAATGAAATTACAAGAGCATATAGGACATTACCTAGTAGTACTTTGGTTCTATCGATGGCTTCTTCAAATAGGCTTAAGGACCCTAGGAGGGGGACAGCGGGAAAAAAAGGTCTATATAGAGATTGTAATTGTCGAGCTTCTGTTGAGACATGCACGTGCGATGATTTAGAGGTTGAGAGTTAGGGTCGAAGGTTTAGGGTTTATGGCTCAAGGCTTAAGTGCATAGCCCAACCTTAAACATAACACTGGACAGCTAACCTTGCAAGGGCCAAGACCTAACAGCTCCGAAATCGATAGCGGGAGTTGGGCTGAATGGATGTTGGACCTTCCCGTGATTTTGAGCTTGGCCTGCAAGCTACAGTGCTTGACCTGCCTGTGTCGTTCGTGAAGGTCTTGGGGCTTGGGTATGGGCTTGGTATTCTTAATGTTTGTGAGTTCTCACTTGTGTCTCCCTCTTGGCCGTGCGCGCAGCAGCGTCCTATGTTCGTGAGGGTATTAAAGACCATGTTTTTTGAACATCGTGCTGCAGTGACATTTCCCCTAACCTCAACATGCGCAGCACGTATTCTCAGAAACCTTGGCTGTAGCCTGCACTCTAAATGCTGCAGCCCCAAAATTACTCCTTTTGCAAAGGATCTCTAGTCCTGGCAGATCCTGATTTGGCAGTTTATCAAAATTTGGGGGGCACTTCGGACTCCAGGGCTTTATGTATCGGACGTAGCAAGCAAACCAATTTGCCCAGCTGTTGGCCGTGAGCAAGGCACAGAAAAGCAGGCCAATACGTGCCCGCACCCTCTTTCTTGGGTCTTGAGCTCGTGCTCCACCCAGTGAAGCCCAAGCGTGAACCTTCAAGCCTAAACTCAAAGCCCTAAAGCCTAAATCCCAAACTCTGACCCCTCAATCCTTAAACTCAACGCCTACATCTTGAGAGTGGAGTTTCTCAACCTTACGTGTATAGAATCCCAACAAGGAGACCCATACTCCCCTTATAATCCTCTGGGACCTTTTCCTAGAATTAAGCCATCAATTCCTAAACCCCTGACTCTGAACCCCCCATAGAACTACAGAGAAACCGAGCTCACGGCCATTGGAACATTAATTGCCCAGCCAGCACAGACCTGGTTCATTGCATTTCAGACAAGGATCCCGGAAGAAAACAGGCTTCTCATTGGAATCAAGAGAGGAAATTCTAAGGGATATGGTAGTTTCCCAAAATAGGGATACCCCAATATAGCCCCCAAAATACTAGTCCTTATTGTAAGAAACCACCAAAAAGGTATCCTTATTGTGGGAAACCCCCATATATGTTGGATCGATAGTTTTAAGCCTTCCAGGTGACCAGGGACATCCATCACAATGGGCTGTCTGGAGCTCTGACCGGTTTCTAGAAATATGTGATAGTAGTTTCCATGTTATTTTCAAGTATATACCCTACAATCCCAATAAAACCCAATATTTCCATTTTATTTTCCATTATCCTTATAGTTGAAGCAATCAGCTTTAGTGTATTCAGCAGGAAAAGGTCATGCCACTTCAAAAGCCAGTGCGGCACGTGCAACATTTCTTGGAAAGCTATCCTGCCACAGCCAAAGGGCTTGCCACTCAGGGCGTCAAGGTGGGAGGAGACTAGCGCATTACTGTGTGACAAGAGGAAGAGAGCTTGCAATAATGCCCTTGGGAAGAAGAATGCAGTGAGCCCACCCACGGTCCAGTTGTCTGGGCTTCTGCCGCATGAGTTTGTTGCCGGGAGGAAACGAATTTGCACGGAGGCGCAAATAAACCATGGCGGACGCAGAATCTTAATGCGAAAGCTTGCTGCACAAGAAGGTCCAAGTTCAATCGCGAGCTATACCCACAAGCGTCCAGATGACAGGATTTCCCCCTGATGGCTATCTCGTACTCACAAGATGTTCTCTCTGCATCCTATCTGCTAGCATTGCATCATTTTCTTGTTGGAACAGTTGTTGTTGCTTTCTTTCTTTAGGGGTTTGGCCTGGATGGCTTGATTCTAGATCCGATGTTTTGCAGCAGCTTGCCTTTTCTAATTGTGGCTCACGGAAGAGAACGTGGAAGCTACCGCTCAACACAGTTACTAGGAAATCGAGGACTATGGCTGAATATGGGGAATATGGGCCAGTTTAAGGACAACTGTAGGGACCCATTCCTTCATTGGTCAGGCCTGGCTGCGGACCCACTGAATATTGGAAACTGCAGGGTCATCCGAAGAGGTACGCAGGATGGAAGCAGGGGGAGACGAAGGCAGGCTTGCCAGAATAATTTTCACGTGCCTGGTTTTTTGAGAAAGCTATTTTCCTCCGTATGCAATTCTTCACATGTGCGCCTGCATTAGATGTTTTCAAGTGGTCCCCCCAACAGTTTTAGAGACTGGGCAGCACCACGCTGTAAAACCTGAGGTCTCTGGCCGTGAATGGAACGACTAGCAAGGCAATCTGCGACGAAGAGCCTCCAGGACTTCAGGCTTTGGGCTTGCATACCGGCGGATAGTAAGGGCTGTAGGAATGGAAAATTGCAAGCTACGTAGTAGTAACTGTTTAGGTGTTAGGGTGCCGAGTAATAAATGGACGAATTGATCCCTACAGTACACATAATCCCGCGCAATGCTCCTTATTGCCCATAACCCATCACCAGTAAGCTTACTGTTTCACATGCTTGCTAGAGTGGACGTTCTTAACCTGCCGAGGTCCTTTCGGGGGTGGTCATGTACATAACCCCAAATAACCACATTATAGTAGTTTCCATTTTTGTTTCTGTCAGAATTTCAATTTCAGGCTTGAGGGATTTGCCAGATGAATGAACAGTTTCCGAAAAAGAGAAGTAGAACCATCTGCGCAAACAATAAGGCTGAATGTGTTAAAGGACAAGGAACAACCTTTCTGGGAAAACTTGTCTTCAACTTCTAATATGATCCTGCGCAGAGTTGACTTGGAGCATTATGGGACTGCCATATAACCCCAATATAACCCCCTATATAACCCTATATATACGGGTTGGCCGAAGAAGGTGCCTTCTGCTTAACGCCCCAAAAGCTTTCAAGGAGACCCTGAAGGAGAAGGATGCCGGAATTCCTGGTTGGAGCCTCTCCCACTTCCTTGAGCTGTAGTCCCCCTTCAGTAGATACGATATGGCTGTGGGCATATTATAATCAGATCCCCATACACCCCATACTCTATCTACTTAAGGGGGACTATTCTCCACATGAATCTTGCAACCAAATCACTAATCTGTTAAAGCTGGCGACAAAAACCCCAGACCAAAAGATTTGAACACCGAAATCCCTGGACCCTAACTGGCAAGCCCGGAATATGTCCTCCCCCACTCCCCCAAAAGCACCTAAGGCCACGCCGAGGGAGAGGTCCATCTTGTTCTTCATAGCCACATCTACCTGGGAGTTCATAGCTGAGAATCTCCACAACAGCATTTTGGGGTGTATCTCTGCGTCCGGGTGGGGCGCATTCATAAGCATTCATATGGATTCGCTTTCTGCGTGGTGGGTTGCGTTTATAAGCATTTATACGGATTCGCAAGGTTGTTGTGGACAGAACCAATTAAGTCAGGTGGGTGGGGGAAGGACACAGCTTGAAAAAAAAAGGTATTTCTCCCCATCAGCATTCTATTCCGACAGGATCGTCTGATCTGGTGTTTTCGGGCGCTGCTTGCGCACTGAGTGCACACAGTTGCTAAGACATCTTCTACTCAGACCACCCAGTCTCATTCTCATCGAGCTGGGTAGTTGGCTCAAGGTTCCTGCTGCTTCGCGCTTTTTACTACTCCTGCTTTTGTACGAGCGCCTGTTTGTTGGGTTGCAAAGTCTGTCGTGTTCAGGCTGGGCTGTAGGATTTGTGTGCCAGGGCTTCCTTGGAAGGATCATGGAGATGGTGGGGATCTTTGGTATCATTCAGGAATTCTCATTATCATGGCTGCCTAACCGGCTGTCATGGGTGCCGCTGCTTTGGCATTTCCTACAAACCTGGAACATCAAGCACTTCTTCTTAAACCCTCAGCAGAGTTGTGCAAGTTTGGGAATGTATGGAGATTACGAAGGAATGCTGGGGGACCCAACTGTGGGGCAATTGAGGTCTCATTTTGTCAGTGCTAAGTTGGAGCTCATTATTCTGGCTCCTGAAAGGGGGCCTTTACTTTTGACACCCAACCAGGCCGCAGACTTTGCTTACTTGTTGTTAGTAGAAAATAAGGGAACAAAGTCCTTATATGTATATATATATATACACTCCCGATACACTACATTCCCTTACTGTCATTATTCCCTACTAAACCCATATAACCCCGTTATAATAGTGTGCATATTCTTTTCCATTATCCATATATTACCCCTATAATATTACCCCCATATACCCGTAAGCTTGCAGATTTGTAAGCGCTTTGCGGCCGTCAGGTGCTCTGCAGCATTCCCCACGATGGGCAGAAGGATCTAGGCTCTTTGCATTTTGGGATATGTGAGCATGGGGGTTTCCCAAAATTAGGGGTGGGGGTCCCTATAATAAGGACTCTAATATTTTGGGGTCTATATTGGGTCCCCCTATTTAGGGAACCTACCATGTAAGCATGGGGGTTTCCCACAATCGGGGTGGGGATCCCTATAATAAGGAGACAAGAATTTGGGCATCTATATTGGGGTGCCCCTGATTAGGGAAACTACCATATAGTGGCAGTAGCACAGAAATGGAGGCTTTTGCAAGATTTCAGCTTTTAACCTTATTCTACATTAGGACTGCTAATTCTTTTTAGGGCTTTTCCTTTGATTATGGTCTCCCTTAACTAGATGAAACATGGGGTGTATGGGGATTTTATTCTGATATACCCTCTGGCCAGGCAAGGTGGGCTCGCGTTTACTTTTCAGGGCTGTTAAGGGGTTTAGGAACCTGGAGACTCATTGTAAATACAACATGCTCAGGGACTACACTGCCAGAGCTGAAGAACTTTTGCGGGATCTACCTAATGCCAAATCCTGTACTTACTTAAAAGCTGCTGAAGTTCGTCGACTACTGCCTCCAAATGAATAAGGGCAGCTCTCAACTTGCCTGGAGCTCCCGTCCGTGTCGTCTGGTGAAAGTTGCAGGCAGGCTGTTGCCAGTCTCAAGATGTAAATGATAGTTTCCCAAAATAAGGGACCCCAATATAGACCCCAATATACTATAATCCTACTTATTGAAACACCCAAATCTTGCCTACCATCCTTCTTGAGGCCGATTCATCCTACCACGCTTGACTTCGATGGTTAGCAAGACCCTGGCAGCTCTAGAACCCCCTATAGGGTCCCTTTAAAGGGGTCAAAGGGGGATAAAAAGGGATATATGGGGACTATATAGGGGTATATAGGACCCAAATAATAGGGTGTTCGGGCCCAGATACCATTAATAACCCAATTCTAGGTCCGCGGATGTGTGGACCAAAGCCTTTTTTGTGTGCTTTGCTCTGGCCATCGTGCCCAGCCGCAAACCCCTGATAACAAAAACTTCCACCCCTGCCTACGAATACTTCTCCTGGGGTAAGAAAATACAACATTGGGAATGCGCATTACTAGGGGTTGTGGGGTTGATCTGTAGGGCAAAGGAATGCCCATTTCGTTGCTGTTCCAGGTGTGGTTGGCAAGTGCCATGGCTCATTCTCTCAACAGAGCGGAAGGCATGAGCAAGGACATTAATCACTAATCCTATGTTGCGAAGATAAAGCACAACCCCAACCCCTAATCCGAAATATTCCTTAGAGTGGTGAATAAAATTACTTTGTGCCACCAGCAACCAAATGGATAATTAGGTAATCCCTCCTTGTGGGAACACACCCCCGCAAGTACAACATACTACGCTTTATGCATTGGCGGAATATGTCTTAGACGAGGATGGTGAGTTGGAGGGGATTAGCACAAAGGAAAAACCAACATCATTTCATGGTGCAACTCATGGTAAGGGAAAAATGCTATCAATCCTCGGCAGAATAAAATAGCAGTCGTATTCGTAGTCGTAGTCGTCAGCAGAAGTAGTACCCTACGCGCTTTTAATCGATCGTGAGTCCAAATGCGTATTGAGGTCACAGAATGTGGCCGCGCGTGCACACCGCACTGCTACAACAGCGGCAAGATCCTCGCCTTTCCATGGTTCCTAATTTTGTCTATCCAAAAAGGTTAAGGTCACTTTAATAGTAAAGTCCCATTTACAGACTGCAAAGAGTTCCCTGTACGGCCCTTAGAACCTTCTAATTTTTCAGCATGGACTTTTGGCCGAGGAATGTCGGCGAAGTGTTCTTGGTATGCAATGGCTGGTGCAGAATGAACCAGACAGGACAGCGCTCTTGTTGGGGAAGGAAGCTCTTCGACATGTCCCTCTTTCAAACCCTCCCTGTGGTCTTCAAGGAGAAGTACCACAGCCACTTAGGTTGTCACTCCAGCGAAACAGACGCAGATGATGGCAAAAAAGTCCGGCTCTCTTCTGCTGCAGATGCGTCTCTCATCAGGGACAGCGGCGCATAAAAACGGCCAAAACTAGTTACT